CCGTCATAACAAGTGGAGTTGAAGTGCCTTCTGGTGACAACGCTTCTTCAGATTGTGTGTCTACAGTTAAAATCATTCTCTCTCTACTAATTTCTCTTTTACAAGATGACAGAGTTTTTAATTTTATATTTTTGATTTCCCCTACCTCAAAATTAAAATGCTCAACTACTTTACTCAATTGATCTTTTGTAAGTCCATTCAATTTCTCTATGGTAGGAGCAGCCAAAAAATCCTGTAACTTATCCATTTTATCTAAACTTCACTATACTCATTTCATCGCTTTTCTCAAAGCTAAAATGAATAAATGAAATTGCCGTTCTCACTTACTAAGTCCCCTTAAATGCACAGACCAGAGGCAGATGAAGTAAACAGACCAAAGCCAAATAGACAGCACTATAATGCCAGAAGAAATTAAGAGCCGTCCCGTATCTAACTAAGAAATCAACTAAATAAACTCAACCCTAGTCTTCAGTACGCCCTCATGCAGCTCAACGGCTAATCCGTCTACCCACGTCCGACGTACCAAAAACAACAAACTAACATAACAAAAAAATAAGAAATAACAAAAAAACAGCATTACCGCTCTACAGCCTAAAGGGGCGGTCACACTAGACTTTGAACTAGTGTTGGGTCGTTCTTGAATGATTCGTTCATTTTGAACGAATCTTTAATGTGACTCGGGAAGAACGAATCGTCTTGGGGAGTGATTTGTTCAGTCGCGCATGAGCAACATCATATAGGTTCTGTACTGGAATTAGTCAAGTAGTTCACCTGTTTCGAGTCTTCGGGTTTTTCCGAGTAATTCGTTCATCACGTGACAGCCCCATAAGTTTAACCAATGCAGTCTGAGCCGGAAAGAGAATTGATTAGTTAATCTCTCGAGTCTTCGGGTTTTTCGAGTCGTTTGTTCATCACGTGACAGCCCCATAAGCTTAACCAATGCAGTCTGAGCCGGAAAGAGAATTGATTAGTTCATCTCTCGAGTCTTCGGGTTTTTCGAGTCGTTCGTTCATCACGTGACAGCCCCATACGTTTACCCTATGCAGTCTGAGCCGGAAAGAGAATTGATTAGTT